AACTAAACATGACAAGCATGTATTGGCATAGAATGAAGTTCTGTCATGGCAAAATGCAGCGTCGAAGGGTTTTGTGCATCAAATCGTCACAAATTAATTCAGTTGACTTCACATTCTAACGACCACAATATAAATCTGTGGTCGTCATGGAAGCACGCGTTGCTGCGATGCGCTGGGCGTACAAAATGCCGAGGACAATCACAAGCGTAGGGTTGACTTTGACAATAGACAGCCTCAGCTTGGCATCATCCTCGCTTCAATATTAAATAGCCAAATCTTGAAGATGAAGTCACACGACCGCAAGCAAAGTAAATGCTAAGCGCGCAGCTGTAGCATCACTGGTTCCTCTTAAAACTCATCTATGTAAAGTACGCAGCATACTCTGCATTTAAAGCGTTTCATGCAGAATGATGTGACAAGATTAATATGCGTGCAATTGAGGTCAAAATCCCGCTGAAACATTCTTGTGCTCAAGCATTTTTACACATCAAAAGCAATCCTTGGATGAAGAGGTGAAAGCGTGAAAGCCCTTGAGCGGTGGCGAGGTGATACAACAATTTTCAAGATCCAAGATGCCAAATGGGCGGCATGCCTTAGTTTGATGTGGATCGTTGACTCGAAGACAGATAACTTGGACTACATTTCTCGAAATCGTTACAAGCGAAGTGAAGTTTTTATATGAATCATAGATGAAACAACTTGTAAATATCAATCCATTTTGAGTCTTGACACTCATTGTGAGTCAAAATTAATTACCCAACTAATGATTAAGTTTTCTCATCAAACAACTAAAATTTTCCATGTGGCCCTGGCCCTAGCCCTAGCGTTTACGCTTGTAAGTGGCTGAAATGCCATAATTTTCGAATTTAAATGGACCTTTCACTTTTAGGTAATCAATGTATCATTGAATCCTTGGAGTGGAGATTGCATAGCAAGCAGCACAGTACCTTGAACTCCTGCTGGAGATTCAGTACAGCAAAACTGGGTTGTGAAAATATACCAAATATCGCGTCATCAGGAATTTCGGACCGGATGATGCCTGTTTCATTCGTCGACTTTGTCAGGGCGTGGTGAAAACCAAACCTTTTGTTATCAACCACAAGCCTACAAAATATACATTTTCTGCTAGAAACTTAAATTGAGATACTCACGTAGCGAGCCCTTCATGATTGTATTCGTGTCTGTCACCACATTCCGAATTTTCGAGCAGTAAGTCGCGATATCAATATCTCAATTGTAGCCATTAAATCGATATTCTAAGATAAATTGTAGTCATGACTTACAACACGCTAAGCCTTCTTGGCCGCCACTGCAGAGTCCAGATTAAATATTTTTAAAATTGCAGCGCTAATAACGGTGTGATTTGCCTAAAATTTTAACCAAGACACTGCCTTAGCTCTCTTAAGAGAAAGTCAAACTTCAATCCAGCTCTAATCCGAATCCGAATCGTTTAGAAGTTCGAACACATTGGTCATCTTTGCTACTACTGGAGTAAAAACCTTCGTCGGAGGTTTCGTACGCTTTGAACGGGGCTCAACCTTTCTTGCTGACGTATTCTCCTTTCCAGGACCACGTCCGCGCCCACAGTCGGAGGAGCGTCGATCACCACGACCACCGTCAGAAGAGCGACGATTGCCACGTCCTCGTCCAATGTCGCCATCATGATGGCCGTTTTTATGATTAACTGCCTCACTTTTTATCTTATTTTCTTCTTCGGCTTTCGCTTTGGCTTCTTTTGCTTCCTTCGCTTTTTCCTTCCGTTCACGATCAAGAGCCTGCTTGCGCTCTAGGTAAGCGGTCTCATCGCGAGGCTTAGCCTCGCCAAAAATACTAGGCTTGTAAGCATCTACCCCTTTTTCCTCCGACGAAGTGGATCGCGGCAGCAGCGTTAGCCGCTGACGATCCGGAGGCGGTTCGTTTCTCTCCCTTCACACCAAAACCAACAGCTTGGTATTAGATCAAATTCTGAAGAAATGACTGTTTGGGACTTACCGGCGATGGTTTAACCGCTCATTTCGCTTATTATGCCGACTATTCTCACGCGGCTTGCGTTCACGGTCCAGCGCCACATCCATTTTAACATGGCGACCATCAAGCTTGAGGTCATCGAGGTCGAGCGCCCGCACAAGATATTCCTTTTCATAAAACTCCACGTAAGCAAAGCCTTTCAGACGATTGTCGTGATCACGTGGGAAACGAATGTCCTTGATGCCATCTGGACCAATAAAATCTGCCAAATCGTCTTCCGAAAGTCGGAACGATAAATTGCCCACAAATAGCTACAAAGCCAATCAATCGTAAGCTCGGCAGAACCTCACAAACTAGTTATGCCAATCCTAACCTTCCACGGCCCAGTCTCTGGTATTGCGTTTTTGGATCGCTCTTCACGCGGCTCACGTCGACGTTCATCGTGGCCTCCTCGTTGGTCTTCATAGCCGTTGTGGCGGTCATCGTGATGGTGTTCGTGGCCTTGTTGCGGTACTAGTCCACCAAAAGAATAACAAATAGCCTTAATCACTTCTCTTTATCGTACACACAGTTTTTTAGGGTAAAGTACCATTGAGATTTTGCTCTTGGTGCTGGTTTTCTTCCTCTTCAATGGGCTGAGGCAACTCCATCCTGTTGATATGAAGTAAGTGATGCAGGTCTTTATGAAGTAGCTTAAGCGGCGCACCGAGCAGTTTTAGGGACCACAGGTAGTGGCTGGATGTCGATGTCGTCATCGTCGGCCCATGAGCTAGCGCCGCCACGAGCGAAGCTCAGATTATTCGCCATGAGTCTAGTGTATTTAATAAGTACCCCTCGTTGAAATGAAACATGTGGAGCTTGGCAGGTTGTTTTAATTATCAAATGAACAAAATTTGCTCAATAATGCAGGTTTACCACACATTTTATGCTGGCCAGGGATATTTTAGCCAATCAATAAAGAAAATCCATATGCCATTGATGTTCTTCCGAGGCAACTAACAAAGTATGATGGTGCATATTAAAGTAAAGATACTTCTGTACGAGGTGCTGCTTGCATCGATGTTGCCGCGAACCTCGCACCGAGAAAGCTTTCACCCTCAGAGACGGCGATGAATCACGCATAGAGGGCCACCTCTAGGGTGCCAAACCGAGAGCATCTCACGTACCTGGCACTTACAGTTGCTCAATCTAGAGAATCTAGATTTTGGGGCGAAAAAGAATACTATATTGTACACGTTTCACAATCAATGACAAGGCATTCATGACACGTTTGCACGAGGCTAGACTGGCAACTCACATTCTATTGATATGGAAGCACTACTACTATCATCCATGAGCAATATTCATGATAGTCACTCTGACATTTCTGAGTTTCGTTCTAGCTCCTAGGGACCA